CCTCTGGTTACCCCCCAAAGACGCAAAGGATTATGGGGATGTGAAAGTCGAGAATTGCATAAATGCCGGCTAGTGAATCGTATCATTCTACGATAATGCATGGTCATTTTTGACAAAAAAAACAAAGAAATGCATAGTCATACAGTATTTCATATTCGAGGGTCATTCAAAACGTGTATGTATCAGTTCTTCTAACTTCTTACGCCTCATGAGTACATAACACTTTGACAAACACGTCATATCGTGGTTAATAGGAGGACATACCACGCTAAACCATCGCAAATTTGTAAAATATCCTGCATTAATACTAAATTAAAAATTTGATTTTAAATGTAAAATTTAGTCAAAGAACTGTCTAGAAAATCCCCTTAAATTTCTTTCTCGTGCTTTTTTGGCTTCTCTTCTTGTGATCCGATTGGTCAAATGCTGTTTGCTGCAATTTTATTGGCTCTTAAAAATAGTACGATTTAGAGCTCAAAATGGCGCGATTCGTGATTTTATTGCATCAATTTTGAAATCAGTAGCAGCCAATTCTGCAATCTGATTAGTTGAAATTAAGATGTGAATTATTCCCTTATAATAATATGGCCATCAAAAATTGTCGATTTTGATTGGTCGGTGGTTAATGTTGACGTTTTTGAAATCACTGTTTTAAAAAGCGAAATCCCTGTGCAAAAAAGGAAAGATTTTTGGGGGGGTCATGTTTAACAAAATCAAATGTTTTTTCGTGCAGTTTAAAAAACTATCATTAGTGCAGTTTAAAAACAAGAGTTTAAAATTGCACTCGCGTTTTGAACTGCACTCGTGATACTTCTTAAACTGGACTCGAACCCATTGCAAATTGCAATGCACTCAGTTCAATTACCATTATAAATTGCACTTCCGAGAGCCAATCAGATAGTAGAAATCATCAGTGATTTCAACATGGATATAAATAGAGTTAATATAGTATACTGTAGGTATAAGAATAGGAAATCGCACGATCTCGAGGAACTCTCAAAACATCACGGGTATCTAAAAATTCCGAATTGTACGATTTTGTTTATAATACACTCAAAAAAATTGAGCAACTTAAATGGGACTCTGCAGAGTACAATTTACAATTTGAATCGAGTAAATTTGTTAAGTGTATTTTAAGAGTGGAAACGATCCGTAAGATCTCCTGTTTGTCTTACATATTGATAAAAAGTCATGAATGACGGTAAATTGAATACTGGTAAAAACCTCATTGTTTAATAAATGAGATTTAGTTATCATTTATTTCACACTATGATCTAAATAAAATACAGTGTTATTTGAGAGTGTTTTTTACATGGGATTGGAGGGACGTTTTTAACGTATGTAGTATGTAAGTTCCGTAACCATTCAACACCTAAAAATAAACCAATAAAGATGGTCAACTTTGAATTCTGGTATATGCTACATTTTTCTAAACTACTTAACACTTAGCATATATGTAACCAGAAAATAGTCCTCTTTAACATAACGAGCCAATGTGGTTAATTTACAATACCACAACCTACAAGGTTTACTTTACAAGATATAGTAAGTCCCCTGGATGAAAATATTTACAACATAAACATATCTTTTATTCACACATTACTAACTACTGATGATAGTAGGTCGTACTTTGTAAAGAGGGATTCTGGTATGAGGGAAACCGAACCTGGGAAGGCATGGCCGGAGAAGCAGTAGCAGCAACAAGGTAAGGCGTGGAAGTAATTCTAGACTGAGAATGGGATGGTAGTTGAGAAGAAGAAGGTTGCATCATAGGCACCATTAAGTTCTGTGCACGGGTATGTAGATGCTGATCGTGAACAGAGGGATGATATTCTGAAATCTGGAAAATATATTCATGGTAAGTTTCAAGTCACTGTCACTCTGTAGGTCTACAGCCCCCCTGATTCGCTGTCACATCAAGTCATCCTACCCCAAGACAAAAGTGGTAAGTTTTGTAGTCCCCCTGATTCGCTGCCACATCAAGTCACCCTACCCCAAGACAAAAGTGGTAGGTCTATAGCCCCCCTGGTTTCTTTGTCCGCAGTGCCCGTGAGAAGAAATGATTTGTTTTCATTATAATAGCATGTTATGACATCGAATAGTCTATTACCTGGTGTGGATGGCCATATTCTGAAATAAGAGAAGTGGGTTGAGTGGAAGGTTGGATGGGAGTTCGTGATGTCGACACTAGTGGAGTAGTAAGGAAGATCTTCTGGTCTGATACACCATCCTCTTCCTCTATCTCCATTGCATCTCCTGTAATCAATAATCAAACACAGAACGTTTTTATTTGAAATCCATTCTATTTATCAGATCTATATTTCTATCTTCATATCCTTTTGTGAAGCTCAAGGGAAGGTCAACAGAAACTTAGTAAAGCACAGGATTGTTGGGACTAAAATTGGGAATAAAGGAGACCAAAACTCTGGAATGCTGGGCCCCAAAAATAACCCATTGAGCTTATTCTGAAAACAAATGTTGCAGTGTGGGTTGTGAAGATTAAAATCCTCACATCATTTCAAACAAAAACTCACTGCGTGATAAAGAAGAATATGTGCATATCATCATGGTAATACTGATAATAAAGATAAAGGATACTTACCCTTTCCAGCTGTATCCAGTGGGGGTGGTGGTGGGGGTGGTATGCTTGGTGAATTGGATGCCGTGCTTGGAGACTTGGAGGAGGTGGGAGAATATTTAGGATCTGATAAAAAACAACAGACCAGTTATCTGACAAGTGTTAGTCTATGTGCATAGCTGGTATGTATAATTATGCTGTCTTACATGATGGTAAATGTTTTATTTATACAATCATAATGTGTTACAATGTACTGCAAAATACAGTACCCTAACAGTATCATTCTGCTATAGCCATTAACACATCTATTATAAGTATTGAATACTGGTATTTAGAAGAAATAAGTTTAAAACTAACCACTAAGAAGCTGCTCTGAAATGAGTGCCGATAACTTCTTGTTATACATATTCATTCCCACTTCTTTCTTGGCCAGTGCTTCAAACAGTGGAGTGTTGCAAGTAGTTAAGCCTGTCATGCTGCTTGTAGATAGTTTTATACGTTCGTTTTCATCTGGACTGATTGGTTCAATACGAGGTCCATTTGCTTCCCAGTTCTTTGGCTTCTTTATCAAAGCACTAGATGAAAGACTCGGTTGAGGTTCACTATTTGACCTGACGACAGATGTTGCCACAGATGAGGCAGAAGAAGAACCTAGTGGTGTTGAGCTAGAGCTGGTTGGTTGTGATGGTTTGGAGCCATCACCTGACAATCTTTGCAATGACCGGTTCCGATACTCTAGAAGTGAGACCTAACAAAAGAACATAAGTTTGATAAATATTAGGCATATGATTCACGGACAAGATCCAATGTTACTTGCTACACTCTCTACTCTCACTTGTGTTCCCATCAATAGAGGCTTTGTTTTGCACCATCAAGTGATGGCAGCCATGGCAGAAGGCACAACAGTAGAGCCTTTTTTCTTTGTGAAACTGTGTTCTCTAAAAGACTCATTTTCCAGCAATCAATCCTGGAATATTACCTTTTTCTTTCCTGGTGTTCCTGAGCTGACGTCACTACTCTGGGTAACAGATGTTGTAATAGGAACAGTTTGTATTACTGTGCTGGTAGGCTGCTGTGGAAATTGTTGGGAAATGGATGCTGACGGACTTAACAATCTAGGGTCACTAGGTCGTCTAACTGCAGTAGTACTTATCATGACCGGTTTAACATCTGGTACAGTATCGAGAGTGCCTCTACCAACAATAGCTTGTACAGAATGCTCTGTTGTACTCTGATATGAAACTTGTGCTGTATCTACACTATTTGATGGAACTTCATTTTGAATGATATCCAATGTTCTAGTGTTAGAAGGTCTATTCTCTAGAGTTCTCGATTGTGAAGATTTAATAACCTCTTTTGAGGTATTGGACATGACTGTACAATGAACACTTGAAGCAGGTTTATGCTCCTCGCCGCATGACACATATTGATTGAAAGATGGTTTTATATCACTTGTATCACTTAGTGGTCCATTATGCGTAGAGCTGATGTTGTCATTATTCAGTGTTCTATTGTTCATTACTTCATCTTTAGTACCCAGCGAAGTCTTTAAATATTTCAGATGGCGTTTCTTCAGAGGAAGAGGAACTGCTTGTAAAAGAAAAAACAATAACAAAATATTAGTATTTTATGTTATGTTTAAAATCTTATTAACACCAGAAGTATATTCTTCAGTAAAGATCTGTTGCACATAAGATGATCAACCTCTTACTCTAGCATTAGTATTTGTGAACATTTTGTAGACAAACAATTTGAGGCAATAAACCTAAGATAAAATCTTCTTACTGTTATTTAGTTTTGAGTGGAAAGTTTTGTTATTCAATGTTGCTACTTTGGGTGGTTGAAGAATTCCCAAGGATGTACGAAGTCCATTGGCAGGTCTAGCTACTCCAACACCATTATGACTGTAAAGAAATTTGCACAGCCAGCGCTGAAAAGAAAAAAATCATTCATAAAAATCATTTATAAATGTGTACAAGAAAGTGCTAAAAAAGACAAAGCTGAATAAGGAAGAAAGTAAGCAGAAAAGTTGAAGAAATAGGAAAAAAATGTTGGTTTACATGCTCTGTGTAGTCATATAGTGAGAGGGGATTGGCAAAATACAAGACAAGTGTTAAAAGAAGCATGACACAAATTAGAGTAGCTCTTAACTTGGACACAAATGACCTAATAGAAAATGATGGCTTGCGCGTGCTCTCATAATGCTTGGCTTCCAGCCAATCAGAACTCAAGATTTATGACAGTTATATATGACAGAAATCTCATATGCAATGAAGTATTACCTTTTTCAATGAATAATAGTAAGGGTTTGATCGAGATACATGTACACCATGCAATAGCGCAGCTAAAGGGCTGCCAGGTGCTGGCCCTGGGCTACGACCATCACTTATTACCACAGATGGACATCCATTCATGACACTTTCTGAACTTGTAGGGGAAGCTAAGAAAAGAGAAATAGAAAATGAAATAACAGTAATAAATCAATAGTAAGGGTATAAATTCCTTGGTACTGATATGTGATACATTATAGAAATAATTAACCCCTTGACTCCCAGGGTTCCTAACAAGGTACTCACTCCAGCTACCAGTAGCCATCTTGGATTTCACCCATAAGATCAACTGAAAAGAAGTGGCCCAATACAAAGATCTCATTCTCAACAATCAGATTTTTTCATTGTGATCGCCAACAACAGGGATTATGGAAATAACAAATACCAAGGATGTATATATTCATCCAGGGAAGCACACTTAAAAATTCTGCTGACCTATATGTACATCCATGGGATGCAATATACAATTACATCATAAACAATTACATCCGGTTTTAAACAATAACAATGTTGTATATGGGGTAAATCAACTTTCACAAGCAGCAACAACAAAATAAATAATACATAAACACATATTTTTATTTCTATACAATATAGTTAAAGCTAGTAGCTTGTGGGGCCATGTATTCTTAACACACACTCCTTGATATATTCAAATGTTCTATAGACACAAACTCTCCACTTGCTTTTTTTTATGGATCAAGATCAACACATACCTGATGTTGAAGGGCAGGGACTAGGAGTATTAGATTCAGTACCAGCCACATTGGTAATCTCTGCCAGTCTGACTGATAGGGCCGATCCAAGATCTCCTGTGGTGGAACTATGTAAAGACACTTGTACCTGATCACATGAATCCTCTAATCGACCTGCTTCAGACTCCTCCATTTCTATTTCCATAGCAATGTCACTGTTGCTACTGGCAGTACTTAGTGTTTGTTTGGTCTCAGTCTCACTCTCTCTGGGACTACAGGGGGAGATCGGGCTAGACAATATACTAGAAGACACAGCCTCTGTTTTAAAGTAACCATCTTGACTGTTCTCATCGCCTTTAGTTTTAGGGAATCTAAAGTTCCTGCTGGGGGAAGTTGAAGGAGTTTCTACAAGGGGTTCTTCAGCAATTGTTGTTACTGTCTTGGGTGTGGTAGGTGTTGAAGCACTGCTGCTAACTTCATCTGGTGATAAAGGTTCTGATGAACAGCTTGATGCACATGCTCTTTTCTTCTTTAATACTGATGATGAACCATTAGACCTGCGCTTGTGGCTTAGTTGCCTCTGACCACGTATCCCCCTGATTTGAGCTTTTCCTTCATCTGAAGACACTCTCAAAACAGGCCGATGCTCTTTTTGAGGCTGTTGCCTTTTCTTTTCTTTCTTCTCCATTTTTTCAATTTGTTTGACATAAGCTTCTAGTTTTCTTTCTTCTCTACTGAGTTTCTTTCTCCTATTCTCAGCTTCAGATCTCTCATGATTATTATCAAGGTCTGAATCACTGTCACCCTGGAATGGAATTTATAAATGTTTTTTTTTAAATTGAGAATAAGGATAACAATAGAATGCTATTGTGCTCTTTCTGTCATAGTTTCATCAACCCAAATACCTTATTTTCATTTTGTGGACTGTTAGTCCCATTTCCTTTCCCCAAATAAAAATTCTATGATACAGTATCCCTGGCTGACTGACAGGCTGCCTACCTGAAAGCTGTTTTGTGTGGCCAGTGTTGCTCTTAGAGGAGAAGTAGTGAGAGGGTTGTGGCTGGAGTTACTACTGTCATCACATAGTTTATGACCATTATGCTCCATGATGCTATTTAACTCCTGACTTGGCACTTGGTGTTTTAATTTATACTTAGCAACAGTACATGTGTCTTGTGCACAAGCACATGATAAAGAGCAGTTGTACTCTGCCAGGCTAAACTCAAATGGAATAGTTATTTCAGCTCCTTTTGGGAGTGGGTATAAAGAGAACAACACCAGATTAAGCTTTCCATTTTGAACAATGCAACGCACCTTAGAAAGAACAAAAAGAAAAAAAAAAAACAATTGTTAATTACTTGTATTCTTTTTGCTAGAAGCTAAAGAAATTTGTAATATGTTGGATTTTTCAAGAAAAGTAGGTACCTCTGTATTAGGTGAACAAGATCTTCTGACAAACCTTGCATCATTACCCATCACACGTGCATCCACACACAGCTTCAAGTGGTCTTGATGATCGTAAAACAGAACGTAGGGATTATACCTGGTGTATAAATAAACTTTACGTTAATTAACGGCATGAGAGAATACTGCTAAGATGACATCACTATTGTCATGTTCATTGTGCAGGCCATTCTACTAGTGACTAGCACCACAAATGCAGTACAAAACATAGTATTCTTCACCTTCTGAATACTGGGTTCTCTTCATCAAATTCATGTCTTAGCATCATTTTGCCATTATACTTTACAAGGAACTGATTTTTATGGAGATCTTCTGTTGTTACCAAACCCTGCAAGTTAAAATAGGCAAGTTACACTTCCATTCTACTTCATTTATTATTGTTATTATTATTTAGTACCTTAGTATTTCTTTGCACTTCCACTATTTTACAGAACTGTTCTGTTCCCTCAGGTATTAGAGCTTCTTGATTGTTCTACAATCAGAAAAACACATGCCTGTTAGCTACAGCAACCCTAGAGTAAAGGAAAAGATAAAAATTTAGTAGAACTGTACCTGTGGTAGTTTTGCCATATACTCCAAAATTTCCTGGCTGTATATACATTCTTTTACTTCAGTATAATACTCAGATTTGCTACAATTACTCTCCCATGGTCCATTTGTTTCCTCATCCACTATAAATTAACAATAACACCACATTGAACATTCAGGTTACAAACAATCTATTGAAAACAACTACACTTCTGCTGCTAGTTAATAAAAGTGATATGCAATAAAAATGTTGTCAAGGCTGTGATAGTATTATTGCCGGTGATGGTAACTAGCAAGGGAACATAATACTCAGTCAACTGTAAAATGGCAATCAAACTTGGTTATCTTCTCATTATTTCTTTAAATGTGTAGTCCCAGAAAATATCCATACATCACCTGTGGAGGGATTGGAAATTCTGGAGGGGAGGGGGTTCAGAGAAAGAACAAAATTACAGAGTTTATATGGAAGAAAACTGGAAGTTACTGGGGTAGAGGGGTCCCTTTATGAATTCCTGGAATATTTTCTGGAACTCAACAGTTTTAAACTGCAAGCCCAAATAAACATTTTCAATGTTTGTGATTCACTTGCCTGGTAAAAAATCTGCAGATAGTCTTTGTTTCTGTCTCTGCACAATAAATAATAAAGAAATTAGGTCACAACAAACAGATGATTGAATAATAGCATGAAAGTTGTGTACCTTTGTCCTTTTCTGTTTCTTCTCCTTGTCTTTTTCTCCCTACAACATCATGATATGTTAATATCTCTAAGTATCAGATTGGACTACTACACTATTTGGTAGGGTTACTAGAATTGCACACTTTAGATTGAATTAGAATTTAGCAGTTGATTTTTGCAGAGGGAGGAAAACTGGAGAACCCAGAGAAAAACCCTCAAAGCACAGAAGAGAACCATCAAACATAACAAACATACAATGTCAAGTCTGTTAACTGAACCTGGGATTCTCCACCCATGCTTTTCTTTTAGAGTATCTAGTAGCTAATTAATTTTTATGATTTACCTTTACTCTTGGCCCTGGATTTTTTCTTTTCTGATGGCTGACTTTAGCAGTTAAGGTTATTCTAGTTGGAGTGTTGGAAACTGCAGTGTATAATGTACCATCTGCATCCTCGGCACTCTCATCATCGTCATCATCATCATCTAAATATCATAAGTTAACATCTATTTATGCAATGCCCTAAATGTCAGGTACAAAAATGGTATACTACAGGGACAAGGACAGTAAATGCATTGTTGTATTTCAAGCCATCTTTGCTTACCACTCATTTCTTCTCTTTTTCTTGATTGGATAGCTTTAGCACGATCTCTATCTAGAACCCTGGGAAAAAAACAGAACACCATCAAGTTATAAAGATGATAAATTTTGAATATCAAATATATAAAAAATAAACGAATATAATAATACTAACATATTTAATTGGATCTCTTTAAAAAAATTTAAGGTTGAAGAAGCGTTCTTGTATTCATAGAATATAATGATGGTTGCGATGATTATTGTTGTTTACATCACAACATACCTTGGATCACACTGTTCACATAAATAGTTTTCTGGTAAATTTTCAGAACTAATGCCCATGCACTCAATATGCTGCCAAACACTGTAGAAATTGAGACGAAATCACAGTTACAAATAGCATATTGGTATAAGCTTGCTTTATAAGTTACTACAGCAAACAGAATCCTTTGCATGTTCCTTTTTTAATAAGCATACTGTTTTCAGGAATTCAGGGGAAATATAATTTTACCACAGCTTTCATTGCAACCCACTGCTGATCAAGACAACAGCTAAGACAGGAAAATCAGGCAATAGACTACAGTCAATCAAATAAATTGTTTGACCTTGACATACTCTGAATGATGGCAGTGACCATCACGTAGCAATGAAAACAGTAGTAAACAATATACTTCCAAAGCATTCTGGTACAAGTAGTAAGAACTGGTAGAGAAATGTTGGAAAGCGCTGATGTTTTTACAAACAATATTTTACATTTTTGGCATGGCACGACCACTAAACTTAGGTGTAAGAGGAAACCAGTAATTTACCTGCATTTATCACAACATATCATGTAGCCATCATCATGATTAAATCCACTAAAAAAAAGAAAAGAACGCAATAAGAATACAAATAAAAACAACAGGACAAGTAAAATAAATGTAGCATAGTACTAACCAGATACATCTTGTAATAGCATTGCCTTCATCATCTTCATTGCCTGTATCTACATCATCTGGTGTTGGGCTACTTGAGTCAGGTGGAGTCATAGGTGGGGGCTGTCCATAATTGTGGTCCTATAATATAATAAACCATACTATAAAGTTACTACTTTAAAACGCACACCTGCCTGTTTGTCTTACTATCTATCTATCTCTAATATAGTGTGTGAAAGTTTTCTTAACGTCCGTAAGCAGATGATGATCGATAAATGTTTAATTATCAATCTGCTAACATCTTAGGGAGTGAGTGAGTGAGCAACACATCATTTGCATATTCAGACCCCTCACAATAACTTGTTTCTAGGCTTTGTGTATCCATTAGTTAAAAATGACAAGAAAATATGCCTAGAAAAAATGCAATGCTTTATTAGACACTTTACATGAGAGCTCTTAAAAGAACATCAACTAAAACCACTGATATACTAAAATTTATTAACTAGTAATTTTGTCAAAAACATTCTTAAAAAACTGATTCTAATTTTAAAAACAGCAAAAACAATTATAATAGTTATGTGGATTGATTGCAGCCTACAGGTAATAGTCAAGTAAACTAAAAGATTAGGACTGTGTGCCTATGTACTTTTAGTTTTTAGCTTATCAAAATCCAATTATTCACTTTTAGATGATATCTAGGACATAAAATTGATTGCATTTCTAGATCCTGTCAGTCTTGCTAGAGAAAAACTGTGGCGAAGGCCATTCTTACAGATAACAATATGGTAACCAGGGAAATACCTTTATTCCATACCAAAAAACTTTACATTATTAGGTCATCAACAAGTTAAGCATAAAACAATAGAATAGACAACAAAAAAGCTTATCAAACAAAACCATTTCCTAACACTAGTCCGCTTATTACAAAAGACTAAATATGATAGAGATCCTAAGGTAGGGATTGGTTACTCGTTATGCTAACACTAGTCTGCTTATTACAAAAGACTAAACATGATAGAGATCCTAAGGTAGGGATTGGTTACTTGTTATGCTAACACTAGTCCGCTTATTACAAAAGACTAAATCCGATAGAGATCCTAAGGTAGGGATTGGTTAATTGTTATGCTAATACAAGTCTAATGGATTTTTTATTTGCCTTAAGTACATTTGCTATTACTTGAAATCTCCTTGATACATAAATGTGTGGTGGAGAGGACTATTCACATGAATTACGGTACTTTTCATGGCTCAATATTGGTAAAAGGACCATTCAACACGACTAAGTGAAATGTAAGTTAATTGATTCCATTACAATTCTCTAATCCCTATCAGAGATCAATCATATTATATGTACAGTGTACATATTTTAGTCTTAGAAGTGGCTTTAGACCACATTCATAAAAAAAGACAATATAACACATAGAAAAACCTTATTAATTCAGGGAAATGAAATATTTGATACGTGAGAAGTCAAACAAATGGGCAGAGAGCATGTTATGGAAGAACAAAAAAAATCATTCAGAAATTACCATAACCAATTATGGTTACCATTATATCTTGAATTGAAAGAAAAAGCTTTCATGTCTCTTCTCTGTCCATAGAGAAATAATCTATAGAGAAATAATCTACAGAGAGTTTTCACTTGGTTTACCGCAGTCTAAGTCTTAAAAATTATTAAGTCAGTTTAAGCCTAAGTCTTAAAAATTACAAGGAAAGGTTAGAAGCAAATCTTGACAAAACCAAGCAATAATATCATTTTTAATTAGAAAATTATGATTCTTTGCCTTGATTGGTTTGAAAATTAATTTGAAGCAAAGGGCTGTGATGAGACACAGGAAGAGGTGTCAGTTTGCTTCAGTCATGATTGGTTCATGGTCATATATCAGGCATTATGTTGTGTTAAAAACCGAATGTTGCATTGTCTCTTATCCAAATACAGGAAAGCTGGTGTAATGTGAAACCAATGTGAAACTCTGTACTTTGAAAACACTACGTAATGGTTCTGGCATCTAAGACCAGAATAGAGGTCACATGAGAGAAAGAGTTAAGAACTCTGTTCTAATTGCTCACCAAATAGACTAAGAAGTTTACAGTCACACTGGATGAAGGAAAAGATACAAGAAAGACCAACAGAATTTATCAACCAGTCAATCAATCACAAATCTCATATATAATAACACAGGTATCCCACTTACCAGGTATGGTATGTGTCTGATCTGCATGATGCTTGGCATCTTCACAGCATTGGAAGACTCAGCAGGATCAGGACTACAAACATAAATATGCAATACTTTAGCATAGATAATAACCATTGCTGCCATAAGACAAATATTGTTGGGCATTACTTTGCTATAAATATGCACATGGAAATATTATGGAATGATATGATAATATTTTGATTCAAAAGAATGTAGAGGGTCACTGAAAATGTCCTAAAGACTAAATAATCTTGGATATATTAATTTATAATAATATATATATATATATATATAAAATTATGATAAAAATATGACACACAATTAATGAAACCTTGAATGCCGATTTGAGGAGATGGCTGACCATGGCCAGAAAGTGGATTGCAAACGACTAGTGCTCGGCTAATAATGAAATTAATGCACTAGCACTTCAACTACATTCAAGTAAGTACAAGTTACTTATTCCTTTGCTTTTTATTTTATCCACCTACAAAAACTCAGCAACCAGTGTTTTCAATTACTTTCCTTCACTTCATTGAAAATTGTATTTCAAATCAACAATTACTGGATTTATTGGTTTTAATAGACATGTTAACTATAACAAAGGATTTGAGAAAAGTCCTAAGTACATGTATTCTGTCACAGTTCAATAGCTACTGAATGCTGCGTCATTCCTTAATCATTGTACGGTCTGGTTTCTATTTATAGCCGACACCATGCACTGAAAGAAATGCCATGAATGGTATGGACTGCTTTTATATGCCCCAGAGAGTCAATCATTTGAAACATAACCTTTGTTTTGTTTACCATCAGGAACCACATAGAGAAAGATGAACTAGAGCTAGAATTTATGCATTCCAATCTTCAATAATGATTAAACATTGACAGCAAGCATGTCTTTGAAGGAGTAGTTTGATGGAGATATCAGTCATCAACAATAGGAAGAATTTACTGGCATGCTTAATTCATGTTTTGACAACATTAGGAAAATGTAAAAATGAGTTGAATTTTTTTAACTAAGTATTGAATTATCAGTCTAAACTTTCTAATCTCAACCTTTTGAACTCTGTTTTGTGTTTAATTACATGCAAAGGAGCAAGACAGTCTTTAAAAACAGCACAAGACAGACATCAAACTAATTTATAAAAACAGAAGTCTTGGTATCATCTTATGTTAGTAAAAATTATGCTATAAACATTAGCACTACCATTAACATTGCAAATATAATCTGAATATATTAAACTAGTTTTATTTATTACACAAGACACCTAATGAATCTCTCTCCATAACAGCCCTTTTCTTCCAAATTCAAGATTGACAAAAGCACTAAGAAAATGGTTAAAAAAGAAAAGAGAAACAACATAAATTTGACTTGTATTATTGTTTTGTTCAAGTTGATGAAGCATGATAGAGAGAGAATTCATTATAGCTTGTGGGTTTACTAAGAAATGCATTTATATCCTGTTTGTTTTTAATCTTCAGGAAATAAATGTCTTAAAACTAAGAGTGTTTTTAAATAACTTTTAGCAAAGCTGAAGATCAAATAAAACCCTTTTTAACAAGGGAAAATAAACAAATAATATAATATTAATAAATTAGTTTTATTGGAGGTTGAATATAATGCCAAGGACATAAGGTGAGCTGGAAAGTATTATAACCAATACACAGATTCACAACTGGCATGTTGCATAGCATTTTTCCTCGTAAATATTTTTTCCTAATATCTAAATTTGAATGTTCATGTAGCCACAAGACATTCATAATTGATGGAGTTATAAATATCCATTTCTGGTTCCCAAACTCCCAAACGGCTTTGTTATGCATGAGAAAAAAATACTTACTCAGTTCCTGCTGTCATGGGGCCAACATTTGTTCAAGCACCCACTCTTTAAAAGGCTTTACTACAAAACCATGCAGCTAACCACAGTCTATGAATCATCTTTGTTGGCATGTTCTCCACCAGAAAGGAGCTACTAGCCTTAGAAGAGAGGATATAGTGATTCATTGGTGAGGACACACTCTCAAACAACAATCATAGCAAAAAAAAACATTTTATTTAAACCAAAAACAAGACTTCTTTCATAAGGCATGTATTTGCTTTTAGGTGGATCAGTAATAACAACCCAAGAAACTAATATAATAAGTTCATTTAAAAATCTATTTCAAAAATAAATATTCATGACAGAATCAATTAAGGAGAATGATTTATCATTGTGAAATCACTTTCCAGTCTCACTGGTTTCTATGGAAGCACAATGTGAAAAAATGAATACTGACAAAATTAAGACATTTCAGTTCAAATGCCAAGTAATAATGAAAGGTGAGGCAGCAATTTTTTAATTCATGTGCTAATCCAGGTGCTACTAAGCATGACCATTTTAGCCTAGAGAATATTCAAGTTCAAAGTGAGCCCCTGATTACCATTCCATTTCACTAAGGAAGCCAAAAGCACCTTTTCAGAAATCAGTATGATCAATGAATAAATGTTATAAATTCATAATAGGATAAGATGTGGCAAAAACACAAGATCATCTGTTTGTTTTGTTTCTAAAAATCATGCTTGTCCCCGAGCATAATGGCAGAGTTCCTTAGGCCATAAATAATAATTGAGAATAAAACCAATAATAAGGAAACAGAAACTGTTTGATGAATGGAGAGCAAGATATTAGAATCTTAAATCAATCTTGGACTACCTATTCACAAATACAACAAAGTGAATCATTATAATGTTGGTTGGTTGTTGGGTACATTGCAAACAGAATGAGGTGACCGACCCCAATCCTTCGTAATGATCCCAAGAATGAAATATATTTTCTCGTAATGGCTGATGTTCTCAAGACGAACTGACAATTGCTTTCGCGTTAGTACTTTCGTTTCTTTTCTATTGATAGCACAAGATGAATACAATATTCATTGGGTCCAAGTGTGAAGGGAACACCCTTGAAATCTTTTCTTTGGCTGTAATATACATCTTGTTGATGTACATCATGCAAGGCCATTATAGAAGTGGAATCGGAAAGACATTCTAACGACGATGGATGGAATCATTAAACCTAAGACACCCTTCACAGTCGCCCACAACACAACAAACTCACAAGGCTTTTCATTAAAACACACAACCTCAAAAACAACAGCAGTCATTAATAAATTTAGGAAGACGACGACCAACATGAATATCAAGAAAATTAAATAGGTGCTAGCTGAAAGTCAAGCATTAAATGAAGCGAAGCTTAATTGAACAATATGGAATGAATCCTAAAACTAGAAAAACACATATTTGGCAATATATCAGTAATATTACTGCTTCGAAATAAATAAAAAATTGACCACAACATGTGGCTTGCGACTCGATTGTAAATAACATTCGATCGAAATCAACTAACAAAGAGTAGGATACCATTTCTAACATCGATCGTTGGCTCTTAATTGAAATGTACTACATATACTGGTGCATAACTAAAATACTTTTTTTTCAAGAACATAATCATTACAACATCTAGTAATGGTTTCACTTGAAAACAAGCACATGTTTTTGGTTATAGTTCTATTCGCTGAACACAAAAGCATTGGTGGCGTATGCCACGAGGATCGAACAAGAACTCGCTCGACCATTTAATTTCATCATTTTCTCAATAAAAACCCATAGATTTTAGAAAGAAATAAGCTGGATATTTTCAACATGAAAACAATTCGGGTCGAGAAATAAATGATGCGTTAAATGTCATACATAAATGATAACTATTGGAAATCTTCGAGAACGCAGCCATCCTAAAGTGTATGTAAGCAGATGGCCGAGTAGACTGGTCTCGCTGTCCCTAGTGATAAACGAGATTCAGGCTAACGACACACTAAACCGATCTAAAAACATGCACATCATCTAGGTAAACTATAGCACAAACCAAATGTGAACTCTAAAGAAGGAAATACGAGTCCTTAAAGGCACAAAAACATGAAAAAACAGGAGATGAATGAGGAAAACATCTAATGAATTAGTTATTTGAACAACGAAAGCCTTGCGAGGTAATCGTTGCCATAAATCGCGTCATCGTCCTCTGAACGACAAATAAAAATATATTTCGATGGAATCTCACAACGAACAAGTAGGACAATCCATATACTACAAATTTTTGGGAAGATTTTGCTTGAAATCGAAAACTCGTCCCGCCCCAAGAAATATTTGACACGACTTTGATGAACCCTTCGCTTGGAAAACAGTCTACAGATAGTTCATGACAAATACGAAATACACTGCTTAGTTAATTTTACAGACCAAGAATCGATATGTCAAAATCGAAAATTTGATTTTGGGTTTTGGCAAAATGCTGGGAAATATTCAACATTTAGATCAATTTGACGCAAGTATCAAATTTCTTGAACCAGTGGCACACAAGCAGACGTCAAAACAACATGGCGTAGTTTGCTCAGCACATGGAATATTAGTACTGCTTTTATGTAAGGAGAAAAACAATATCAAATGAAAGACAAAATCCTCATTCTAATCGAAAGAAGAACGTTAAAAATGTAAAAAAGAAACGTATTACGAAAATATGGCGTATCAAACATGGCCAACGTTTCTCGCAAATCTAAAATTAAATCATCTAGTGACTAGCACCGTTTTCCCCCAAAACTTGCGCAATTTTACTGTAATAAAAATGTTCTACAAAGTAAAAAGATATTTCTATAATAGAGAATCGAAAGGAAAACTCTTAGAACAAGGGTGTAGGCTGTTATTTGATAATATTACTGTAGAGTCTAGGTCTTTCCGGTCGACCTGCTTAAAATAGTCAAAGAAAATTCTAGAAAATAAATTTCTGATAATAATTACTTCAGAATGGAAGGGTTATAGTCTGGTTTGTCTATGTTAGTGTTCATTGATTCAAATAATGAAGCTAAGGTAAAACGAGAGGCAAGACCATAGGTTCAACTATGGCTTTATTTTTCATCAACTTGCCATCTTCAAATGAATGCGTATACCAGGTTTATAGAGCTCTTTTCAGCCTTCTTATTGAGATATTGGTGGCAAGATGAATAACAAAAGAAAGATTGTACGTTTTCGTAGGAAAATATGAATTCTGAGGGGAAATTTTGTGATAACTGAGCCGGTTTTTCTTCGATAAACGTATGATAACACATGTGGACCATAGGAGCAGTCTCAGTCACAAAATACACAATTTTAAAAATGTTAAAAAAATTGAAAAAAGGTTGAATTCGCCGGATAAATATCAGAGTATAGGACACAAACTTATTGAGGAATCAATAGAAAAGCCATATTTGTAGGGAGAATTATAAAAACATGAATAACCTACCTTGAATTATTGTACGATGCTTGGTCAAACTAGCCAACACTGACCTAACTAGTTTGCGACTACCACACAAACAAACCCCAATATTTGCACATAAAATTTTATGAATATCCAATAAAGACTTGTAAATGTGTTCTACAATGCCTTAGCTTTGTCGTATAAGAGTCGTTGTTCCCTATGAAGCATTAACCTTAGATATAAACACTCTCAAAGTTCCTTTACTTTTCTCCATTTGCGAACACTCGAAGAGGAAAAATAACGTGCGAAAGCGCATGCGTACAAGCGTAATATCACGTGACTCAATAATACATCAGGTTACGTCACGCGGGAAAGAACGCAGCGTGGCAGCGCGATCACCAAATAATAAAACTGTCTCGTTGGCAGCCACATATAATACGTACACCTAGATTCTACATTTGTATTGATTCTTACACATATACTATACCAAGATCCTAGCATAACGATGGTTATATATGAAAGTAGTTCAATATTAATATGAGAGAGGGCAAAAACAACTATCAGTACAAACCCTTTTCAATTGGACGTTCGTCTAAAGTGTTAGTAGAAGAAGGGAGAAAATACATCGAAACTGTTTTCAGTTTCTTTACAACAAAATAGATCATTTATTGAATTGAACACCCTGTAGAGATGTCGAGCACTCTATAAATTACAAAGTATTGACTCGATGTTATGCAAATTCGCCACATGAACCTACTTCATAAATCTCTTATCCTTCGCTGATCAGGGTATTTGCCAGCGACGTTTGTCGAAGTCTTCAACCCTTACCTTGTTCAATCTAGCTATAGATGTAAAAACACGGGTACAAAGGCACCGTGCGTCAAACCAATTTAAAAGAGAATACAATCAAAATATGAAAGGATTACTCCCGTCCGGTTTACGAAAGAATGTTTTGCTAGAAAAGTATTGCTCAATACTTCAAAAACCGGTTTTTCCTGTTTTCAATCATTCATCGATTTCAATAGATTTTTTCCTGGAGTCGCATTTCTCTGTTGTTGACTAAAGTTGAATATCTTGCTTGGGGAATACATATGATCCTACTAGAAATCCACTACTTCTAGTCCATCTGAATTAAGAACGTAAATACTTCTCCATTCGACCCAGATGTTTTTAGGGTCTATGACAATACAAGAAGATTAATATGCCCGCTCGAGTAGAGTAATTTCCACATATTCCATAACTTGTATGCCACGCTTCATTGCGATGCCATTTCTCTCACCGATTTATCTTCTACGTAAATTCCATTTTGTTCTAGTACTAGTTTCTCAATATTTGTCCGCCAATAACTGTATTTCGCACTTGAACCGACTGGATATAGAATCGATGAAGAAAACAATGCCATTTACACGCCATGAATACAAGCAACAATACCATCATGCATTGCGTTATTAACACCAGAATGCCTTGCGCACTTGGCTATTCGCCTCTTGGCGGCCAGCCAGCAAGGTTTGGGTTAACTTTCAAGAATCTTTCTTGGATGATCTTTTAATTTCAGTTGCTTCTTGCACGTATAGTTCAGTCAGAGAAATGAAATTTGCAATGACTGCAAGGACATTGTCATTTTGCCTATATATCACATGGCGTGACATGAAAATAAATTAAAATGATTCCAAGTGGAGCGCGAGGGTTGGACGTGAGTGGGAATGAAATGACATATGAAAACGTGACGGTGATGTCAAGCTTAAAAACCTTTTTACTAAAAACACGCAAAAATTATGCGATTACTGAACTAATGCCCCGAATATACTGATTTCCACAGAGGTAGGGCCGATTGTTTCGTTGATACAATTTATGGCGGGCAGTTTTTTAGTTCACATGGCCATGGTGCTTTCTTTTCGCAAGAAACCTTCCTATTCTAACAGTTTCCTGCTGCGCGACCTATTCTGAAAAATAGAAAAAAAAACAACAACAACAAAGCCAACGAATCATTCATAATGGGGGAAGCGCACTGAATTTGTGATTGCACATATTCTTTGTTGACTTCGTCTTGGCAACTATAAGCTATGTTATTCGTGTCAGCTGAAGTAGTCTGCGCATCACATCCTAATGGCTTTAAAAACCCGAGCTTTGCTGAATCTCTTTATAATATGGTTTGGGGAAAAGAACACAAAGCGTGAAGGGAAGGAAAAAGAGAGCAATGAGAATAAATAAGAGATATAGGAGGAGATAGGACCATGCAGTTATGACGTCAACATCTCTTTTATTTTTAATTAAGAATATGACATGATTGCATGCGATAAAAACTCGATTGCATTCACTCAACAAAACGAAATTCGGTTTAAACTAATTCCGGCTTGTATATTCTGTTTCGACTAACTTCGTTGAGTCCCAGACTAATCGATTTGCTTCAAGTATTGTCTTTTAATTTATAATCAATAGTTTCTCATTGACCCCTTAAAACAGAATGTCAGATACAGCCCCTTCTTTCTTATCGCCTTTGAAAATCGTAAGCACCTTTGAACTGTTTAAAGCAGCTGCCGAAGCGAGGAGTGATCCGATGCAAGATTATTTTCGTCATTTATTCAAAGATTTTAATCACTACGCCAACACATCCCTCAGATCACTTCCGTGACAGTCTGCATTTCAGTGACGTTTTCGATAGCCCATTATTATTATCTTCTCATTTTGCCCTGTGAAGCTGGGAAACCATGGTGCTTTGCCAGGGCGATCGGATATCAAATGTTTCAATATACGAACATATAAATGTATTTTTTATTTTTTGAGAGGCTTTTTCAATTAACTTATTGGTCTTGTCTCTTTCCATGTGTTATATTAAATATTCAACAAATGCGGTTTGCCCTCAGCATCTACTTTCAGTACCAATGCGCGCCCTTCCACTGCCGACCAGAATGGGAAATTAGTCTAGTAATTAAGAGGCAAAACAGGACACATGTTTAATAATAATAAGGCTCAGACAAGACTAAGATGCCATTTTTTTTATTTTTTCCTATAATTGATGTAAACTGTAATGCAGGAAATAAGAAAAAGTGAGTGAGTTTTTTTACTGATGATATTGATATGTGGACTAGAAGCTTTATCGATATTTTCACATTTACCGTGAGCAAAGTTGACCAACGATAATGAGCGAGAAGTGTGGGTGTTTCTAAGCCATTTTATTTCCTTTGTATTTGGGCTATTTTTCGCTATAATTGTATTCAGATAAGCCCAATTTGTCTTCACCCTTGCTCAACGGCTACGAACATAACATAGACTCGCATAATGTAATGTCCAGTATACATCATTTGGTCATTCATTCTGCGGGGTGGTGATCCATGATCAGCTGTCCGGACGCAGAAGTGACAACGTACAAGTTAACCTCGTTTAGAGTCGGTATACATTATATATTTTACAACCATCACTCCCCGTACGGTTCTCTTCCATCAGTGAGCTTCGCTCCACACGCACTACCACTACATTCTATATTTACACCATACAACACTCAACTAACACTATGTCGAATTTTACGGAGGGAGGAAAACCAGACGGTCGAATCCGGAGAAAAACCCATGACAAGGCAGAGAACAACACAACCATCTGGTGTTAATCGAGTACTAGAGATGGGAGGGGAGGGATTAAGGAGAGGAACTATCTAGTGCTAATAAAGCACTAGGGAGGGGAGGGATAGAGGTGGGAGCCATTTGGTGAGAATCGAGCCCTAGGAATGGGAGGGGAGAGAAACAGGTTTTCATGGGTTCATGATGTAAACTAATCATAAAGTATATTCACAAACTTAGTCAATACAGGCGTTTCAAGTGGGCTTCCATAAACTGATTAATTCACATCTGAAGCAATACTAATAAATAAGGAAATAAGACTGAAGGGAATGATAGGTCGTCTATTTTATTACATCACTATATAACACATCAAATATAAATAGGTGACAACTTATTGTATTCAGGATAAAATTTTAAGGATAAAAAGGACTATAACTTATGTAAGGAGAAAAATTCCTTATTTTTTACTTAGCCTGAAACAAAAAATTGTTAGAAGAGAGCCTCTTACTTCAGGACACGAACTGATATTCATTCTTTTGCATTGTTTAATAGATATGTTTTTTTACATGTGCATAGTGCTCATAATTTAGTATATGCCTTTCTAAATTGATTTTCACCATATTTTTATACACATTAGCTATGCTAAAGACGTTATTTCACGTTTATATAATATGTAGTTTTATTACCATCACATGTAACTTTATCAGTGAAAAGGGTTTGAAATATTTTGAAGATAGTGAGGGTATAAATGATGCCAGGCAAGGCATAGGGCTTAGAACATCAGATACAAGTCTAATCCAGCCATTTTATTAACTGCTGATGGAACTATGTTGCAACAGAAACCTAACAAAATTTTCATGTTTTAGCTAAAGCCTTCATCAACTTATATTCCCAGTAAACTATTTCCTCCTGGGTGGGAGTTTGAGTGCAGGGCTTACAGTGCTTATTGAAAAACCGTGGACACCTAGAAATATTCTAGGAATGTTCTATTCTTCTTTGGCCAATCAGAATTGCCTTTCTAACCACAAGATAACAGAAAGAAACAATAACATTTCTGATTGGCTATTGAATATTCTAGAAATATTGCTAGGTGCCCACTGTTTTTTGATTCGCAATGTATCAACTCTAGCAAGTAAAAAGTGCAATATCACAGAAACTAAAACATTTATATTGAAATGATGGGTACTACAAACACCTAACTGCACAAAGGCACAGACATGATTCGCTCCATGTAAGGGAATCCAGACTTACAGTGGATTCCGGATTTCAAGCACTGGATTCCGGATTCTGAGACTCTGGATTACGGATTCCAAGGGCCTGGATTCTGGATTCCAAAACATTTGTATTGCGTATTCCGGATTTCATATCGTTAATTTGCATCTGATGACAGATATTCTTGGTGGAGATATTACACAGTGGGGGAGGGGCTACGACAGTTCAGTCTAGGTCGAGGCGATAGCATTTGAGTGTATACTTCGAATTTCAAAGTAGTGGATTCCAGATTCCAAAAGGGTGGATTCGGGATTCCATTATAAACTGGATTCCGGATTCCAAGGCCTGGATTCCGGATTCCAGAGTGCTGGATTCCAGATTGCAAAGCCTGAAAATATTTCGTGGATTCTGGATTCCGGATTCCCCTACATGGGACAACATGATGTAATGAAAGCAACAATATCTATTGAATCACACTTTAATGCCTCATCATCTAATGAATATGCCAGAATGTTGTCAACCTGACATTGTGTCCCTGCAAAACGTTTTTATGAGCCATATGTCTTAAATGTAAGTACGTATTTGATGGTGAGGTCTAAGTGGAAGTATATGTTAAGGTGTAAGTGGTTGTTGGTTAGGTGGAAGTATATGGTAAGGCTGTAGAAGTAGTTGTGGGTGAGGTGGAAGTATAAGATAAGGTATAAGTTCTTGATAGTATGAGTGTCACTTGCCAAAAACAATTATCAATAGCAAGTGCTATCTAGACAGAGTATTTGAGTATAAAAAAATGCAAATAGCCCTCAGCTGTTCATCGATAGAAGAATTTATCATTTATCAGACTAACAATGAAAAGAAAAACAAAAAAAGATAACATGTAACATAATGTGTAACATAAATACCATTAAATACTGCCAAATTATGCTAATTCTATTGTTTTCTATTGTTTAATTAGCACTATTTACTACTAAATAGTGCAAAGTGTTGCACACTTTTAGTGTTTGTGCTCTAGTTTTTACCCTTGCCTTAAGTTAGAATTATTGTTTGAATGTGTAGTTCCAAAAAATTATCCATACCCCCCTCATGGAGGAATTTTCTTAAGACACCCCCTACCCCAAGGAAATTCCAACTTTCTTACATACAAACTCTGTAATTTTTGTTTTTTCTCTGACCCCCTGCTGTTCGGACATTCCAAATTCCTCTGTGGGGTGGGTATGGATGATTTCTGGAACTACACGTCAATACAGAATTCAGGAAACATGGGTGAATTTCACCAAATATGTAAACCCAGGTTGGAATCCAGGGTTCAATGTTGCTTGCTGGCTCTCTCCTCTGCTTCAAGGGATTTTTCCAGGTCTTCTGGTTTTCCTCCCTTCACAAAAACAAACTTCTGAATTCTTACTCAATCTTTGGGCTTTCATCTAGTTGGAGCCTGGTTCTGTTAAGTTGTTGTTGTTGTCCCACTCTGTAATACAACAGCAGAAGCTAATAGATGGATAATAACAATACTTTATCTCTTAACAGTTGAATGATGTTGAGGCTTCGACATCATCTGACAATGATTGCGTATCCTGCATAACAAGCTTTGACCCGTCACCAATGGCAACTGTAACCTGACAAGGGATTAGATAAAACCTCTTACTATTTAGGTATAACATTATCAATGCAGAATTACACGTGGAATGTATTAAAAATCTAATTATTTCATAAAAGTATGAATTCATAATTATTCATTATGAATTGTTTTCTTCTTAATTACAGTTAGCAGCTTAAAAATGAGCTGAGAAAGGTTATGCATTAGAATACTGAACAAAGCAGTAGAAACAGTGCACTGGTGTGGCAGCAATAATGCACATTACACCTTTAAAATATCATCTTAATATCAAGGAATATGGGATCAGTTTTTTCCATGTACATACCTGAGGTATCTCATCAACAACATTCTTTTCCTCTTGGTCACTAGAAATGTTAAACTGAGTATTGATAACACTTTCAACTTCCAGAAATCTTTCTTCTTCGTCTAAGTCACCTGCTTCACTATTTGGATATGAATATTGATGAAGCAATTCTCGCTCCAGTCGCCTCTTTTTCTTTACTTTTTGGATATGACGAACCTGGTTAAATAAAATTTACAATTTTATCATATCACACACTCAATATCCTGTGTATTATGACAAGTATTTGATTGCATTTTACAGTGAGAAATAATACATGTTCTGCAAACTGGTTTATGAAATTTTTTTTTGCCCCTGTGTGGATCAAAATATGACACAACTAGCAATATAATAAAATTTATTTGATATCTAGTTTACATTAGGCCCTTAAACTTGTTTAAAAGTTGTTTAGTTTTACTTGTGGCCATTCACACCACATGCATAGCTAACTAAACCTTGTTCAAGTAAACTACCTTGTGGAGGTAGTTATAATCCTGTTTAAAGAAGGTGGTCAAGCAAGGGGGGATGTGCATGTTGGATAGAGAAATTAATAACTAAGGTTAGTAAGTATGAAGGGGGAATAAGACTAGTGTTAGTTGGAGATGGTTAGTAAAAAATAATAAAAAAATAAAAAATAAAATCTTTTTTTATTTATACACGGTATGCATTAAAGCTAGAAGCTTGTGGGGCCGTGTATCCTCCATACACACTCCTTACTACATTAGAATATTTTATACACACAACTCTCAACTCTCTACTTTTATTAGTGTACTTAACATATTTACAGATGGGGATCCAGGGATGGTGACCTCTTGCACAAATAAAAAAAGTGTTGATAACTAAAAACATTTATTGATTTATATAAGGAGATGCCAGTTTTCTTCTTTTTTCCACCTTTTTTCCTGTGGTATTGGCACAAGGTACCCTATAACATTCCCCCACCCCACCCCACTCAGATTAATTCTGGATCCCCCTGCATTAGTGCCATCATAAGGACCCCGCTACCCCCTGGAACTTCCAATTTTCTTCCATACAAACTCTGTAATGTTGTTCTTTCTCTGATCCCCCCTCCCCTCCAGAATTTCAATTCCCTGTAATGGTGGGTTATGGATGTTTTCTGGAACTACACAATGTGATTACCAACAATATGAGCAGAAACAAGGCTTCAGGAAAACAAAAGAACATTGTTATAATATATTACTATATTGTTGTCATAGAGCCTAGATGATGTTCTTTTGTTCATGATCACTCAACCAGAATAGCAAATGTTGGATGTGTATTAAGGGTGGTGATGTTGCAATCCAATCTGTCAGTCAGCCACACCCTGGTCAAAGACATCAGACTTTATGCAATAGACCTATCCAGAATTCGCTTGACTGCGATCACGAAACAATGGTTACAAGTCGAGATTGAACTTGACGAATAAAAGAATTAAAGTTCAGTCTTGACTTCAAACCATTGTTTCGTGGTCAGTCAAGCGAATTTGGGATAGGTCTATTGCTAGAGATAAGATTCCTAACCCTATCAAGACAGAAGCTAGTCTCCTACTTAGCTGCTCTTAGTGTCGTCATGCAACAAGGAGTGAACAGTGAGTGACGACACTAAGACCAGCTATGTAGGAGACTATACCGAAGTGGCCGGACCAAGTCCAGAAATGCACTACGGAAAAGATGATGATGATAATGATACCATGATTCTGATCAGCCCAGAGGTTGTTTAATTCAGGGGTATCAATAACATTTTTAGTAAATTTGTTGCCCTGACTTATACCCTACTAGTCAAAATTTGCATCATTACATTTCCATAGCATTAATTTTCTTTAAAATTATACAAACTTGAAATAGAATATTAGTTGCAGCTGATAGTTAGAGTGAGTGAGAAAAGACTTACCATACACAGTAAGGCAATGATAAACAAAACACATCCCAATGGAATTAAAGTATATTGAAGAATTTTACTTGTGTATGAAGGATTTGATGTAGGGTGATACGGTGGTACCACAGTTGTAATATTAGAATTTTTTGTTGATCTGGTTGTTGTCATGAAAGTTCTTTCCAATAAAACAACAGTGGATTTTTTAGCATTTCCTCTGTTTTTTGTTGTATTTGCTGTGATTTTTGAAGAATTGATGGATGCTGTTGGTGTGTAGAAACCTGTTTTGTATTTAGTTGAACCAGAAGTCTTGTCAACAAAATTATCTTGAATGTCACTCGTATTTAACAGATATTTGTAAGGAAGTAGGTTATTGGTTGTTGTATTGCTTGTTTTGTTTTTGATGATTAAAACTTTTTCCTCCAGTGAATCTGTAAAAACAAGAAGAGAGGAAATATCTATTAATTATCATAGGTTAGGGTTCTTAGATTATAAATATTATAAGTTAGAGTAATTTAAGTAGCTTTAATGTTACTCAGCTGTTATACCTATAATTGATTATATCCTGCCCCAAACCAACTATCAAACAAAGCATTCAGGTTATCAAATATTTCCTGAAACAATCATCCAAAAATACAATTTCTTTATCTAAACAACTTAGCAAAGGCAGTTGAAAAGACAACTAGACCCTGGTTCCAGGGTAAGCTGGGATACCTGGAGGACCTGGAGGACCTGGTTTCAACATGCATGGGGTATTTAGTTGGTTGAGCTTCCAAAACAAGATAACGACGTAATGAATTATTGCGCAACTTGTTCATTTTGTCGGACAGGAACCAGCAGGAWTCAGAAAAAACAGACGTGTTTTACAACTTACTGGTAAACATCAGTTTTCCCAGTAAAAAAGATGCTAGGATGGGTGCAGGGTCATGGGGAGTGGAGGGATGATGGGGTCTTAACCTGGCATTTTTTGCCAGAGGTAGAGTGTGTGTAGACTGTTTGTTTTAAACCATAGGATCTGCACTAGAACAACAAATTTATTCACAGGAAGTTAGGTATTACTTCTAGATGAAATATGGGTCTGTGCAGAAATGCTGTTGTTTTGACATGGATCCGAACAATAATAAAGTRAAAATATTTTTTTATTAAAGCTTCAAAGAGCTCAAAGTAGTGAAAATCATTTTGGATAAAAAGTGTATGCCAAAAATTAAAGGTATGGATAAAAATCAGTCCAAATTCCAGTTCCGTCATGTCCATTCCATTCCTATTTTTAGAATACGTAATTCTAAAGTCGTGCCTGTGGTCACACGCTTTGCAAAGAGTGTCTCACACGGGAATTTTATAACTCGTTATTCGTGAATCGAAATTCTTTACTTAAGACGGTAAAAATCAAAGATTTTCCTCACAGTTGCTTTAATTTTAAAGTTTTTTATGTTCACAGATATTTCTAAATCCGAATGGACATATTCTTAAAGTTTAACGAGCTAGAAGTTGAATGACTTAAGGTCAAGAAGATAGGCGAAATATATTCGTTTATTTAAATTATTCTTATTACTTCATATTTAAAAACAAAATATTAAAAGGCCGAATAAACTTCTCTGTACTTTAAGTTTATTCGTAGTAGTCTTTGGTGYCAAAACATTTCATATAACTTGACAATCAGCTTGAGGAATCTGCAAAAATAGTACGAAAGTAGAATGAAATACGCTTGGTTTGTTTAGATCAAGAAGGCATAATTCTTTATCCTTGGCTTGTTTTTGAAGCGCTGTTTTCCTTCCTTAGCACTGATCTTCGGTTACAGAGAATACTGCTTTCAGTAGTTGAACCAAAGCATGTGTAGTTCGTAAAAATAAGCTATGGGCCATTTTATTAATAATTCTTGGAAATCCTTGTCACCTTTTCTTTTTTACAAAGAAATTAGAATTTCTAATCCGACTCAGTCTTGAATAACAGCAGTCAGCAAAATAGAGCATGCGTAGACTTAAATTGTGTCACGTGATAATCTAGCTCCGTCCCCTCCTAATCACTTCGCAATATTGACATTGATTAACAGCAAGGCAGATGCTAATTAGTCAGCACATAGACGGTAAACCTATAGCAGAAACCCGCAAAGGTCTTCTGGGTAATAGTTTACGTCATTTAAATCCATGTATGGGTACTATTGCGCAACTTTGCCATTTTGTCACAGAGAAAAACAAAAACAAAAAAACAAAGGCATTTTATAGCTGGTATACCACAGGTATCCCAGCAATAATTCAAGGTGTACAAATGAAAATGAAATATATGAAAATGAAATATATCAAGGACCATTATTTTACAAGTTTACAACTATATATCTACAGCAATAACAAAGATTTATGTGCAATATATCATTCCAATAAGAAAAAAAGTTAGGGAATTTTTCATTAAAATGATGTTACGCTACAAAGTTAGCAGATAAAATGTTACACTATAAAATGTTAGCAGGTAATATGGACTATATTATAGGATACTACCACTGACAATATCTCTGTTAAGAGCGGCCCTAATGTATATGTACTTGTCAAATGCATTAATAATTCATGAGGAAAACACAACAGAAATCACGACTGTGAAGAGTGTTGTAAATCTGATACAAAATTGTGTTCATTTGCATAAACTTTAAGTTGGATTTTCTTGGCCAGATTCACTTTAATTTTGAAAATGTTAGTGAAACACAAAGGAACTAATCTAGACATTTGACATGTAATCTACAGTATTCGTGTCCATGTTGTATCCGATATACAACAAGGCCACGAATACTGTATATATTACATAAATACAAAATAACTGCCATATGTTAATGAATACAATAATGTATCAAGATGTTCATCAGCATAAAGTAATGTTATGTAATTTTTTATAAACTGCCAGCAGTCCCTTTCCCTTCAGATTCAGTAAATAATACAAGTTTTTAGAATATTGAGTAGTATTAGAATCCCTGTGGGCGTGAGAAGATTGGAACCAAGTAGTGGGTCCGCGTGCAGGGTGATGCCTGTTGGCTCCAGGAACCCCAAAACTACTCTGTATTCTAAAAAATCATCTTTACTGAGACTGGAGTGGAAAGGGTGACCACTTACAGTCTAGAATGTTGACTGTTACTATACTATGCAATAATGGCCCTTGGGCTAGTAGAGCTGAGAAGTTACTAGCTGAGAGATAACTGTTAGTACTACAGCTTATTAATAAAATATTAAAAACTTACCAAACAGCTAACAGCCCATTGGCAAGTGAGGCATTTTTTACTAGTCACAGATAAGGGGAATATCACTAAGGTCAAGCATTGCTGTGAATATTCCATGGTATTTCATTCTTTATTATTACAGGAGATTTTAAAAAGGATACATTATTTAGCTGGTAATTGAACTTCTTGTCATGCAAAATTTTTGGTCTGAAATTAAACTCCTGCTACACAGTCGTGCAATTTTGTAATCACTCGCTTGATTTCAAACCAAATTGCATTCTACTCAGATCAATTACCATATTTATTTACCATAATAATGTGAATGATTTGATGATTCTGAACATATTATTATTATAATTGCTGCAATTTCCAGTCACACGCAACCAACTGAGACCTAAATTACGAACAAAAAATTGGATTTTGGTGGACGTCAATTAAAATGGTTTCTTAAACATGTCTGAGGATTCTGACTCTGAATTTCAAACGCTTGACTGCAAAGCTATTGGTATTGACTTATTTGATCTTGAAGAAACTCAAATCTATAGTCATATAGCGATAGCTTTGCAGTCAAGCATTTGAGATTCAGAGCCGGAATCCTGTGACATTTTCAAGAAAATGTATCCAGAGTGAGAAATTCACAGCGACAAGAAACATGAGATAAGGACAACGGTTTTTGTATGTTTGCACATGTTCACGTGAGTATTCATGCTAGTCCTGGTGAAGAAACCAATAGAAAACCTTTTTGATTGACATCCACCCAAACTCAATTTTTTTTTGTGATGAAGGTCTAGATGGTTGCGTGTGACTGGGAATCATAGTAAATGAAACACTGACAGTATGGTACAAGTGCATGTTGTATGTGCCACAAGCTGCTGTTCTCCAAGTGAATGAGTAAGCAATGAATGTCACCAGTTGCATACTGTGCCAGTGACCATACGTTCTTCATGCAATCATTCGCAGTCATATTAAAACACTTACTCTAAGTAATTTCTATTCAACCATTATTCTAAATAAATTATTAATGATAATTTGTAGGTTTTTAATACCTCAAGAAATTCAACAAGACACCTGACACAATTTAACCATGTTTCAAGAACATGCTATTATTCATAGAGTACCCTAACTTGTGAACAAGTAATAAGCTTAATTAACAAATTGTATATTAATATTATAGTAGTAATAAATTATGCGTTCGGTGTGTGTAATGAAATAGAGAGAATATGATATTTTTCTCTTATTCTCTCTCTATTAATATTAGGTGCAGCAAAATACCCCCCAGGAACTCCAATAAAGCAGCATCAAAAACAGAAATTTCAATGTTGAAAACTGTTCAACATAAGTTTAAATAACGTTTAAAGAGGAAAAAAAACCACTTACCTTTGGTTATTATAATAAGGATTAAAGAATGCACAACTAGTAAGCTGAAATCCAATCGGGAATGCATCGTATCCTTTATATGTTGCATGCAGTCCACAACCAGTAGCTGAGATTATAACAATTCTTTGCTGTATTCTTTCATTGATATTCCATATTACAAATACCATGCATGTATAGGATTGAATGTGATGGTTTTCGTATCAAATCAAGGGTGTTTTTTTCCCAGTCAGACACACTCTAGTTCTTTTTTTTTCCTGTGTATTTTGAAGCCTGCTAGTACTCAATCCTCTCAGGCCACATCTAACCGAGTAGTACTGGTGCCCATGGCGCGCTGCTTGACTTGATCTCATGAACTTTTTTCTTGTGTTTGTTTGATATTTTGGGTTTAAAATGATTTCCAAGGCAGCAATGATAGCTTATACGATGGTAAACCATCATATGCTTGGACAAGTACAAATACTTGGGAGTTTGAGTATCAAGAGACTGATATCTGGAGCRAGAACACTAAACAATGATGCTTTGCACGAGATTCGCACAAGATGGATGGACAAACTTGAAAAAGCTGGTGTACCTGAGGCAGATCTGTCGGTGAAGTATATTATAGAAAAAGTGTTGGGCCAAGATAGTGAACTGACATTAGAGAAACAAGTAGAAATAAATGAAATGTGTACACGAAGGCTTAAAAGGTAAAGTCACGTACCTTATAGTCACGTGTCATCCCTCTTCTTCCCTCCCCTCCCCTCCCGCCGGCATTAGTGCTATAAATACAATATAAAATATCCCCTATACTAGCATCAGTACTTACTCTAATACTAATTAACAAGACAAGGGAATTTTTTATTGACGACTAGAAATGATTTTTGTATGAAACTAATTTGAATCAAATCCAAGTATGGTTATATATTTAAAAAACTATTTATATTGAGCTTAAGCATTTAAAATAGCATTGTAGCAACCGTAGCAACGATACAGCACAGCCTTCATGATGAATTAGAGATTGACGYCAGCAGAAAATAACAGCCTGTCATGTTATTTAGAGGAGATTAGCATGGCTTAAACAAAAACCTTATCAGAACTATGTCATTGAAGCACTGTGATTGGATAAAACAGMCTAGTGTGGTCAGAATTAACCACTTATTACTATCAATAGTAACATTTTTGACYAAGGTCACCTTGACTATTGGCAATAAACTTACTTTGTTTTGGCATAATGCTTTTCATTTTAGACCACATGACATTCTCTTGAGAATATTTTTTTTTATTTGAATGGTATCCATATTCATGAGTTGTATCCATATTCATATAGCTATTTAAGTATCACAGTTACACAAGGAAATAATACTCAAGGGAATGATACAGGAAAGTGGGGAAGCACAAATTAGAGGACTTAAGAGTCCCATTATTAATTAATATCTTGAACATTATTAGAGTCATCTGTATTGAAATCTATTTAAAATGGGTTTGGTTGAACTTGGGTTTCTTCTGAAGGAAGGTCAACTTAACTTGAGTATTAGRTAAACCTTGCTATTGGTCACATCGGCCCTAGGTAGTTCCCCACTCCCCAAAACATTGTCACTTTGCTAATAGCAGGTTTAGTCAAYGTGATTCAATTTTCATGTTATGCACTTACAGCTAGATATATCACTAGTATTCTGTTTGCTGTAAAGTAGTGAAACAGGATACTCTGCAACATTGATGTTAACATGCAAAAAAATAAATGTATATTACATGTGCTTCAACTAACTTGCATCACATCTGATTCAATGTAACAAAGGAAACCAGTTCAATACATCATTGGGGACTGGGATTTTCGTGACCTGAYGTTATTGATGAAACCACCTGTTTTTATTCCAAGACCTGAAACTGAGGTAAAACTTCCTAGAAGTCAGTTTGCGTCATGATAATGTTCCCAAGGGACTTTTTATTTGTTAGACGTTGGGGGAGGGATCATTTCTGACATTACTCCAAATCAACTTCCTGGAACTTTGTAATATTCCTCTTTTAATCATTACAACTATAAAAACTAATTGCACTGCATAAACTTTCTCTAACAATCTGTTTTTGAGTAATAAGTTACAATGTTCCATGCTCATGCAAAGCCTTAGAATTTCTCTTATATTTCATACGTTTTGTTTGTGTGTCTACTTCTGGTTTTGAAGCAACATGATTATTTGTGGTTAGTACTCTTATGATGATCCTTAATAAATTTGACTCTGATTGCACTCTTTGTTTGCTGTTGTTAAGCCAACATGTCAAGTGTCAGTATTTGTTCTTTTATTCTGTTTGTTTCCTGAGTTGTTGGAATATGCACATTTGTTCTAGGATTTAGTGGATTTAGTGGGGTCTTATCATCAGCTTTCTACCATCAATCATCCTGGTTCATTCAGATTTCTGGAGGTTGGCTGTGGTAGTGGTGCAATCTGTCTTTCTCTTCTCTCAGAGAATCAAGAGGTATGTGATTACATAGACCTTTTTTATTTCTGATAAACAATTCAATTGGACATTAGGTAGAGAGGAACTGCATAGATGTTCACAAGAGATGAAGGTCCAAATCCTCCACCTTTAGTTTGRAATATGCTACTCTAAGTTGTTTTAGAATCTTTGCCCCCCACTGGCAAGGATGAGCACTATGCAGTCCTTGGTACCTAGGCCAGTTGTTTTAGCTAGACTTTGCTAGCCTGGATTAACTCCCAATAAGAAAAAATTAAGAAATGAGAGAACCTTGACATTTTTGAACATATTTGCTTGCAATTCACCATCTCACTCATAATAGAACAGTGTTAAGAGGTAACAATTATACTTCATTATTATATAGATAGCAATAATTATTGYTGATTTTGTTAGACATCCTGTGTGGCTATTGATGTCAATCCAGAAGCAGTCAAGTTGACAAAACTTAATGGGAAAAGGTTTGTCAAAGTTCCTCTTTTATTACTGTATTACTGTCTTATAGTAATAACATACTTATATACTCATATCTATAAAGTTATAGTCCCAAAAAATTTCATATATAGTAAGTAAAGCTTTTAATACAAACTGCAGCTTGAGGATGCTTACCAGAGGTCAAACTGTAACTGGTAAAAGATATTGCATCTATTAATAGCTATCAAGCGAGAGAAACCTGTAAAAGGTATCCAATMACCCATAATACTTGGGGGTCTCAGCTTGGTTGCTTTTCAGGTGACTAGCTTTATTGAAATAAGTATATACAAGAAAAACAACAAAGTCTTAATTAAAATAAATGACCTAAGTAAGGAGAATGTTTTCGACAGGTGGATCTAAGAATGTTGCCACTTTACAAACTGCTCTACCATTTATGCAAGGTTCTGAAAAGACTTTTATCAAAATCAATTTTATTTTAATAAAAACTAGAAATGATTTACTTTGATTGGATTAAAATTTGATGTACAATRTTTGTAAAAACGTGTACTTAACTAACTGGTTATTATATGAGCATCCCAAATATCTACCRTAACTAATGAGTCATATTATATTCATTTATCTGTAGGAATAATTTACTGGATCGGATTACCGTAACTAAAGCAGACATTGGTATGCACATTTATACTCTTTTCTAATTTGTCTTCAGTTGCTATGTTGAGAACATTGGTACATAGTTGCAGATGTACCTCAGAAAACAGGTCCACTTATTTGCTCTATCTCATACAAATCTTYACAGGGAATTTTACCTGTAATGAACAGTTTGATGCCATCATTTCCAATCCTCCATATATACCAACTCAAGACATGAATCATCTAGAGCCAGAAGTTAAAAGGTACAAAATCTTCAATTATGTAGGCAGCGTAAAAGAACTGAGTTGACAGGTTCTATAAGCTAACAAGTTATAACACTAGGTATGTCATACATAGTGTCTGGAAGGCAAAATAAATAAACTTTGTTATAGAGGATGACACTTGACAATAATTCAACTGATAAACTYGTGCTCCTCTTCAAACATTTCTAGTTAATTAGGGATGGTGCCACCATTAATGTGATCATGCGAGCCACCYTAAGGTCTAACCATTTGCAGATGAAATTACAAAGGCGGTTAGCTCAGTTAGGAAGACCATCGGTCAGGCATTTTCTAACACTGATCTTTACCTTTTGTTATGGCCGTAAGAGTTAACATATTGCATAAGCCACCATTTTTWATACTCTATTTTTTGCTACCACAAAACTTGTTTTGTTTCTGTTTGAATAAGCTATGAGGATAGGAAAGCATTGTGTGGAGGAGAGGATGGGATGGATGTTATAAAGGATATTTTTCAAGCTGCACCTCAACTACTGAAGCCAAATGGGTAAGTTGGGTGTTATATGTCACCATAACACAGGGATACCACAAGGAAAAAGAGTAAGGACTATAGTACTAGTCTGTGACATGAGCTAATGCCATTACTATGCCAACCA